GAATTTTAAGCAGCGTTGCCAGATGGTCAGCGGCTTGAATACTATTGGTCATCGCTGTGGCGCTTAATTCAAATTACAGTTTGTTTTTCTCTGACTAATTATATAGACACTATGCTGGAAAATAATTTAGTATCCCACTATACCATCAACATTTAGCCTATAGAATAATGTCGAGCAGTTTTTTTACTAATTTTTATACATAGGATACTACCCCATTGAGCGAAAAAGCTAAAAATCAGTGTAGACAAGCAGAGAGAGAAAGATTTGCGAAATTCTAGTTCATAAGTATAATTTTTTAATAAATAACTCGATTTCATTGGGTTTTTATACAAAATCAAAACATATTTTTCGAAGATCAAATTTTTGAGTCGATTTCAAAAATGCTGGCTTATCACGGATTTTAATGAAGTTGGCTGTTTTTGTACCTCATTGGTAACTTTTCCCATGCATCCAAAAGTTCAAACAATGAGGTGTCATCAGATCAACTAAATTAGTCGAGCATAGCAGACATAATCTTTATATATAAAAATGAATGCCACTTTTCGTTGTAATTTCATAACTCAAGAACGGACTCACCTAGCCAAACCAAATGCTTAGGCTTTGTTCGGACTATTTATTAGATGGTTTATGTGAAGTTTGCACAAAATCGGTCGAGCGGTTCTTCATTTATCAAATTTTTTGTAATAAATTAATTATTCAATAAATGGAGCATCATTTTGCTGTCAAATTCAAACTTTTTTCAGCGTTGACAGTACCAGCATGTTGGTATGTCATTAATGTGGTCATTTCATTAGGTACTTATTTTATTTATTTATGAATAGTATATTACAATCCGAGACGGGAAATGCTTCATTACTGGTCGAGAGGTTTTATAGTTTATCGAGACGCGTAGCGTCGAGATAAACTGAACCTCGAGACAGCAATGAAGTTTCCCGTCGAGGGTTGTATACTATTTTATTTTTAACCATAATTTCTTGAAAAAAAAAAAAAAAAATCGGGGCAACCAAATGAGGTCGGCAAATGAAGAGGAAAATGAGAACCGGAAATATTTCCCTGCTCCATTTTCCGTCCGTGGACGGGAAATGAGGACGGAAAAAATTTCCCGTCCTCACTTCCCGTCCTGGGACAGGTAATGGAGCAGGAAAATGAAGAGACAGAAATGTGACATTTTCAAATTTTTGAAAAGTCAGTAATGACAACATTTCATATATGGTTAAAAATTAAAATAATTACGGCGCCATGTCTTATAGCCGATACCGAGTTTATTTTGTATTTTGTATACCGCGCCATCTCTGATACCTGGAACGAAGCTCGGCATTGCAGATACAGTAGAACAATGCTGCACAGAACTATTCCACTATTCCGATCAGATAGAGTGGTGGAGAAAGAGTAGGTCAGATAGAGTAGTGCAGATAGAGTAGAACAGATGGAGTAGTGCAGTGCATGCAGTGCAGATAGAGTGAAATAGGGCTGCTCTAGAGATTTTTTTTTGTTTTCTTTTCATTCTTTGAACATTCCTGTGCCTGAGTTTATTTATTTGATGGTACACTTCACAAGAATAATGCCCACAAGCTGCCTAAAAAAGGATGATGTAAAATTTTAATTTTAGGTGCCTTCTGATCCAGAGAGTAAAAAATTTTCTTCAACCAAAGCCAAATTCACCATCGAAAAAAACTGAATTTAATTCAGCTAATAGATACGTTAACACAACATTTAATAGGTATATTTAATAATTCAGAGGCGGTACGAAGTTCGCCGGGTCAGCTAGTAAACATATAAAATATAAATATTTTCAGACAAAAAAAACCCTACCATCGACGATTCTTGAGATGAGGACCCTGCAGTGGATAGCAGTAACCCAGAAGCAGATGTTATATCAAACCCATAATCCGTTGTCCTCCGCCAAAAATGAGCAGATGAGTAAAAAAAATTTAGGCAACAGGAAAAAAAAAAAAAAAAAAATTCAAAATTCCAATCTGTTCAATTACTTTTTTAATAAAATGATAACTTGATTTATTTTTTTATTGGGTTTCAATGAAAAATCAAACCATATTTTTCGAAGATATATCAATAAGGTTTTTCACCACTTGCTTCCACTCAAAAGTATTGGGAACCGCAAAACCAGCACCAAAATATTGCTTAAAATGTTGATAAAAAAATTGAAAACATATATGTAAATATATTTTTCTACTGACGTTTCATAATAGCAACTTTTCGATTGTCATTTCAGTTTTGAAACGACATTCTTTTAGGCACTGAGTGCGTGAAAGTTACTTTTAAGCACTCAGTGCGTAAAAGTGACTTTTGAATGCGTAAAAGTGACTTATGAGTGCGTAAATGTAATTTTTAAGCACTAGTGCCTAAAAGTGTCATTCATTATTCAGAAATAAAAAACACACTAAACACATATTTGAATTTTGTTTTGTATTTATTATGAATATTGAAAATGGAATTACTGAATTGAACGTTTGGGTTACTCAAAACAGAACTTTGTGTTATTACCTACTTTCTAGGATTTTAATTATTGATGTCGAATTTTGAAGAAAATCGCATGAAAAGTGTCAGGTGCCAAGTAAAAGTAGGTAACAAAGATTTTGGGTGTAATCGACTTATTCACATGAAATAAAATTGTGTTTTTTTATTATAAAATGCCAGTAGAAAAAATCTTGTATACAATACGTTACGAAACGATGTCTTCTAGTCACTCGACGTGTTGTCCAACTCGGCTTTGCCTCGTTGGACAATTTTCACGTCGCGTGCCTAAAAGACGCTCATTTCGTAACTTATTGTATAAATAGCTATTTTCAAACATAAACAGGTGCATTAATTTTATTGCAATATTAACATTTTGCTTGTGAATCAGGTGGACCTTTAACGTAGGGGGGCACTTGAGCCTGGGACGTTTTTCGATACCGTGGAAAAATCTCTAGATCGGCGGCGCCTCTGATCTGAAATTTTGAGAATTTAACCCGGGCCAACCCCAAAATTGACAAATACAAATGGAAGAATTGGTTAATTTTTTTTTAGTTTTCAAAAAAGTGGAGGGATATAAAAAAGTGCCTCCTCAGGGTAGGAGTTTCACGGAAGGGGGTTTACAGTGGAGGTGAGTAGTGGTATGATGGCTGTGCTGGAGGGGGGCTTTTACGTGGTAGAGGTGGGTATTGGACTGATAGCTGTGAAAACACTCTATTGAGGCAAATTTTATGGTAGTGAGAACGACAATAAAAGAGGTTGTTTGCTCTGTCGTACGTGTACATGTTTATGAGCAATGGTGGGGTATAATAAATCCATTTAGCCTTGTCTAAGAATGCGTAAGACAAAGACGGCCATCCCTTTTACCACATTGAAAATTTACATCAGACGTGGCAAATGCTGGTGCCATTCCATTTACGTAGTATACATTCTACTGACTGTGATTCACGTAAAGTCAATGTTATTATATCGGGTCTTCAAAAAAAAAAACCAATCAAAGATTGCTATGGTTTTTTGAACGTATGTCTTAGCAATATTTTTCTTTAATTTTGTCAATGAACTTAATGTCGAAATTTCATGTCAAAAATCCTGACCAATAAAAAAAACAGTAATGCGACGTACGTTTTCGTAATTAAAGCAATCTTCGATTGGTTTTTTTTTGAAGACCCGATACCTTTATTCCAACACAGCAGGAAATCGTACAATGTACCGCCTATTATATTTGGTAACAAAAATAGTTGCGCCACCTGTTGATATGATTTTTTTTGCTACTTTAACTGCGTCGTTCATTACCTATTTTTTTCATTACAAGGGTTTATTTCGATTGCATAAATTGAACAGTGCAATGAAAATAGTTAAATCTAACTAGGCTAAAACACCGGATTATATCAACCGATCAATCACAACTCAACTTTTGTGACTGAAGAAGCAATAAAAATATTGCAAAAGCATTTACAGAAAAAAGAGTTTTTCTGACAATAAACATTGGCCGTATCCTTACTATTTATTTTTTTATCGACTTGAATGGAGCCATGAAATTTCCTAATCTGATATATATTTTCATATACATCCAGAACAGAAAAGAAAAAGATATAAACTTAATTTGAATTTGTTATACATATTCTAATTATTTCAAGTTAAATACTACTGAAATAAGGTAAACTTCATGTATCAATTTATTCGAAACCTCATCAACGTGGTAAATTTACAGTTCCTAATTTAATATATACATTTTGCAATAAACCGTTAGTGAAGTTTTACTATTCGAAAACTGCAGTTTGTTGAGATGGAAATGAATAAACGGAAACTCTACAACCTGCAAAAGGGAAAAGGTTTATTTGACAATGATGTTTTATTACATTTAACATTGTACCTATAGGATAGAAAGAGACAACGTAGAATATGGGTTATTGTTCGGTAATAGTAAATTGTTTTATCAGGAGTGAGTGTTAAGACTTCAGACCTTTGAAGAAAAAAGTTGTTTTTTCAAATTACATACTCTATGTAGTTGATTTCTTTATTTTAATATTATACTTATTGAGTTCAATCATAGTTAAACAACTTACCATTACCAAACCATTAATACTGATATCGTATGAGTTTGGATTCAGGTACCTACCTATTAATAACTTCTGTGTAGATCTGATCTTTACTCCTAAATAAGCCAATATGTATTTTCAGAGGTATTTTTCTAAGTATTCGCCAGAGTTCAACTTCAATATATTTTTCGCAGGCATCTTTTTCCCAAATTAAGTTATTTCGATATTGTGCAATAAATAAAATATATAAAGCCATTATAAGTATTGAAAAAATTGAATGATAATAAAAACTGAATGCGATCAAATTTATAATCCTGCAACGTCACTTAATATATGACCAAAATATTTTTCCCGAATTTTAAAAAGGGAGCTGAAAATTCAAATGTTTGAAGCACTATCAATCACTACCGGATGGGGGAAAAAGTTCCATTTTGCCCCCCGGAAATGGTAGTTTGTCAAGTCATGAATAGATAAACGAAAACTTCTTACCTTTTCATCGTTCACAAAGAACGTGATATTGGCAGCTGGATGCGACGGCGGTGCATGACAGTCGGCTATAAGCGGCCTGCCGTGTTCCAAGCCGGTTTTATCTACTGTGACTAATGGAACTCCCGCGGGCACAACTGGAAATAAGGAATAATGCTTAGATTATTTTTGAAAACACTCGATGAGAAATATTTTCATTAGACTACAAAAAAATTGAATTATGCATTGTCGGTGTATCTTAAGTAATGGATATCCATCGTCTCAAAAATTTATTTCAAGTGTTAACCCGGCTAACATAGGCCGAACAAGTTAACAATCAAAGCATCTTATTCAAAAAAAAAACCATCATAAAGGCTCCAGTATCTGAAATTAGAACTTTCAAATTAGGAACTTCATTTCATATTTACTCAAACATTGGTTGCCTCCACATTTTTTGTTATTTAGATTTGCTGATATGTTTCTATTTCTGAGTCGCGGCTTATCATCTTCAGATAAACTGGCTCGTTACTATCTGCGAGACCCCCCCGAGGAGCCGTGGGACCTTGACGCTGGTGGGGGGGCCCAACGACCGCCTCTCCCCGAGCTCGTCTTGTGGGCTGGCGAGGGGCGGCAGTTACTAAGGACGGCTTACAGGGCTTAATCCAAGGTGGAAGCCACCGTGCCGAGGGATGTATGATATCTGAGCCCCAATCAGGTATCGTGAACGATGCCTGCGGAAAACCAGGCGACATTCCGCAGTATTTAGCCGTACTGCGACATGCCGGGCTCTGTCGTAGCGGACCTTCATTTCCCTTGCCACTCGTGGGACCTACTATGGACCATCTAAACAAAAACCGCCAACCTCTTCCCCCTCTACCCCCTCTACCACTCCTTCCAGCACCGTCTCAGGCTCTGTGAAAACAGGGAATGCGATAGCTGTCCGCTCCCCCTCCGAGAGCTCTGCCCAAGCAGAGACCTTGGCGGCAACAATTCCCCCCGAGACCTCTGCCCAACCAGGGATCTCGGCACCCACTTCATCGGAATGACAATCCACGGATGGCCCTTTCAAGGCAACAAATGTTGACGACCTCGCTGGAGCCCTTAATCGCCGCAACATAAGCGGTGCGGAGAAGAAGATAAGGAGGAAAGCTGGGTCTGCCGAAACGCAGTGGCGGCTCCTATATTAGAAATGTGGGGGTTGCAATTCCAATTTCAGCCTTATCGGATAATGATCGACCACAGAATGGCTCTGCAATTGAACTTTGAACATTTTTTTGTCACGTACCACACCGCAAACTAAAATAAAATATTTTAAAACAAACCTTATCTGCGATGCGCGCAAAAAAGTGAAGAAAGATTGCACTTTGCCTGCAACCTGCTGGAGCTTATGGGACGGAATTGAAATCCGCGCATAGATAAGCAACCACATATGCGCCATCTTATAAGCCGATCGGGTTGCATTCGAGCTGCAATCCAGCGCGGCGGCGAGTCAGTTATTGCCATTTTGGCGAAAGTGGTCAAATTATTTCAATAAATTAACTGCGGGACATCTCCTCGCGTATTATGTAGGTACCAAATTTTGGTATAATTTATTTTTAAAATATAATTAGGTACTAAAATATTAGTTCTTTTCTGTTTTATTGTTTTCAACTTTTGTTTTGGGGGTTGCGCAAGCCTGCAAACCTTAGGAAGAGCCGCCACTGCCGAAACGGCTCAGGGCTCTTCGGCCCCGGCCTCCTTGGCTGCCCCGGCTTCCACCCCTCCCTCCAACAGCGGGACCAGGGCTTCCACAAAGGAGGCACAGGGTCCGCACGCGAAATGGCGAAGAATGCCAGGATCTACGCCTATCGAGCGCGCAGGCTCTGCCAAAAGGCCCAAAACCACCCAGGTGGCTGGGCCCAGCGCGAGCTACGCGCAATCGTTAGGCAACGCAAGACTGCAGCTAGCCGTAACCCGGGCGGAACAACCCGATACCGGTTTTACGGACGAGGAACTGCTCGATTTCATCGACGCAGTAGCTGAGGCTCTGTTGGGCTCACCATCGGGCAGCAGCGGGTCTCAACTGCCGCAGTTCCTCCCCGTCCGGCTGATCAGGAATCACATCCTGGTCACGGCCGCGAACCGTGAAAGTTTGGAGTGGCTCCGAAGGGAGCTCTCAAACATCACTCCCTGGAAGGGGGTCACGCTGGTCACAGTAGACCCCTCCATACTGCGTCTGCACCGGGCGATCCTACGGGTGGTAGAAGACACCAGTCTAACCAGGACACATTAAAGGTCCTGGAAAGTCAGAACCCTGGCCTCCCGTGCTCCCAATGGAGAGTATGGGAGCGCAAGGAGGAGGCTAGAAACCTCAGACTCGTGGTTGGGGTCGAAAAGTCGGCCAAAGACATAAGGGAGAGGGGTGGCTCGCTATTTTATAGCATCACCAGGGCCTCTATCTCCCTTATGAAAGGCAAAAAGGGCAGGGGCTCCCAGGCGGTCCCCGCTAAGGAGACCGGCAGGGAAACTGCCAAAAACGAGGAGGCTACAGGCACCGACCAAGTGGCCTCCGACGTCGGGAAGCCAGGAGATTGGCCGGAGGGATTGGAGGAGGGCTCCTCCAGCTCCGAGGCCTGAGCTAGAGACTCCCCCACCCCTGCAAGCGGCCAACATCTGCTGCTGGCAAGTATTTTTACTAATTGTCAACCTCCGGTTCGAGCGTTAGGCGACCGTGTATGATTTTTAACATATAATTTGATCATATTAAACATGCCAATAAAATTTCTACAGGCAAATTTACAGCACGGAAAAGCATCTTCTGCTGTCCTGTGTAAAATGCTCAACGAGCTTGACATTTCCATTGCCCTGATCCAGGAACCCTGGATTTTCCGGGGTGAGGGGCTTGGGCCTGGCGGGGTCGCGCTAGATTGCTGCGTACCCTGTGAGAACCCTCGCGCCTGTATCCTGACAAGGTATTAAAGTTTCGCTGGGAAAGGAAGGAGTCAGGGAGGATCTTGTAGTCTGCTCTTCCTACTTTCCTATCGATATCGAATCCCTCTGCTCATAGGCTGCGACTCTAATTCGCACCACGGCCTATGGAGCTGCAGAGACGAGAACCCCAGGGGACGCTCTCTGGCGGGCTTCCTGAGCTCCAGCGGCTTGGAGGCCCTTAATCGGGGAAGCGTCCCTACCTTTTACTGCAACCGTGGCCAATCTGTGATTGACCTAACCATCTGTTCACCAAATATCATGAACCTTTTCAAAGCATGGAGAGTGTCCCTGGAGGTCTCAATGTCGGACCACAGGCACATTCTCTTCGAGCTGAATAAAGACACCAGCTGCGACAACCCAGTCTATAGAAATCCGAGGCACACCAAATAGGACCTCTTTCGGGAGGAGCTCACAGATGGGCTCTCGGATATGCCGGCAAGGTATAACCTTCCAGCCGACATTGAGATTGGAATAAACAAACTGTCCAGCGCAACTCTCCGGGCATACGAGGGTAGCTTGTTACGATAAATTTATCATTTACGTAACATGTTCCATCTCTTCTTATTTTCATTATAAAGTCGTATTTTTTTTAGTAGATTTTTGTCCATTCTGTTTTATTCCATGCGGTCTTTCATTGTCTTTTCATTTTGAAATGAATATGGTCCTTTGGGTGTACTCGTCTGATTGGTTAAAACTGGTTGGAATGCAGTTAGTATAAAAAAACACAGGATCGTTTTCCTGCTAGCTTGGTTTTCTAAAACGATCGCTTCTTGAAAAACACACTGGCCAGGCAAGTCCTCTTTATTTTTATTTAATTTTGTGCTTTGAATTTCTGGATCCTCCCCTATAGTTTTTTCAATATTCAAATTATCGTATCTTTATTAAGTTTTTACCTGATAAATCTTATCTTATCTGTTTTTGAAATATAAATATTATATTTTAAGTTTTTTTATCTAATTGTTGGCTTTCATTTTGTGTGAATTGCTTATTGATTAGTGCCACGAGGTAAGTTAAGACAGTTTTTTGGATTTTAGATAGGTACTGCTGCCCTGGTTTTCATAATCAGTTTTTAGTGTGGGAATATTGGACTATTTGCTCTAAATAGAGTCGGTGAGAACCAAATTTGTGAGTCCATCCCCATTAATTCTTTATTGAATCCAGGCAGAGGCTTGAACAGCCATTTTCTGCTTGACTCCCTAAATTATTATCTTAACTAAAGGGTGTAATTTTTTAATAGAAATCCAGACAGGTCAAAAATTCAGTTAAAAAGTTTTAATTAAAACATCTCAAGAATTTTGACACATTCTGGATTTGATTAATTTCAACCCCAGGTTTATCTAGTATCTGTGGTAGCACCTTAATTCGAGGGAAGAATTTTGTCTACTTGGGGAGGAATCCAGAGATTTAATTTCTTATTTTTTTTAACTTACCTTATTTTTGCTCATATTTTTGCTCGTATTTTTGCCTGCCAGAACTGTTTTTCAAGGAAGCAGCATTTTGTTCAATTATAACGAGCATTATAATCATTATAATTGAATCTTGTGTTATTATTTAATTTTACTATTATCATTATCTTATCTTATTCTTAATTATTTTTTTTTATATTAAAATATTAATTTTTCTACTTGCAATAGTTTTTATACCTGATTCTGTTGAAAGGAGTGTCTGTATAACAATCATTTTGTACTAAATTTCAATTTCCTGTGCAAGACACTCACTTTTTGACAGAATTCAGGAATTTAATGTTCCAAATATTGGTGAACCTGATACTGCCTTATTCTTTTCTGGGTACCTATTCTACATAAAGATCACTGTTTGGAGTCTGGATCAGCTGGAGTGACGTCACCCCAGCAATCTATCCTCTTCCTGGATACAGGAAACAACACCAAGAGCTCCAATTCACGAAAGTGAAACCCCAACACCGATTGAAAAACTCCAGATTGAAAAGGTATATGGTGTCAGAAAATTTAATGAGAAGAGAGTGTTTTCCCAATTAAAAGGTTTGATCCCAAAACTGACACCTTAATAGAATTAAAATTGAAAATAAACTATCACCTCTTTGAAGAGCCTTCACTAAACACTGTGCGGCAGATGCAGTGGAGGATGAGAAAAACGGGTTGAGAACTCGTTGAGATTTTGCGATTTAAATTTCCGGTGAAAACTGTCGTTAACTGGCCTCAACACTCAC